GGATGGGATTATGCATGCTGGGTGGGTAACACGACCTCCTTTTGCCTGTAGCAGGGCTGTTGATTGGAAGCTCTGCATATAGACAGATCATTTGTTTTTTGTGGTTACCGAAGATACCAAATCTTTATACAATTTAAGGAAAAGAATTTCCATGGTGTGGTGGCTCACAAGCCTGCAATTCCAACGTTTGGGAGTCTGAGGTAGGGGTTCACCACTGAGTTTGAGGCCAGCACGGGTACAGAGTAAATTAAGGTTAGCCTGGGTTAAAATGTGGCCCTGCCTCGAAATAGCAACAAATGTTAACACAAATAGAAGTTTCCTATAAGCCGGGTGTGGTGGTGTGCGCCTTTAATCCCAGCACTCACAAGGCTCTCGGTGAGTCTGAGGCCAGCCTTGTCTACATAGTGAGTTCTAGGACAGCCAGGGCTCTGTAGAGAGCTTCTGTCTTAAACAATGACAAAAAATAATTTTCCCAGGTTTTTCAGGGAAAACCTTTAAGTGACCATTTTAGTGGCATAAACTATTTTCCTTAAAAATATTATTTGTGCCGGGCATTGATGGCACACGCCTTTAATCCCAGCACTCGGGAGGCAGAGGCAGGCGGATCTTTGTGAGTTCGAGACCAGCCTGGTCTATAAGAGCTAGTTCCAAGACAGCCTCCAAAGCCACAGAGAAACCCTGTCTCGAAAAACTAAAAAAAAAAAAAAAAAAATTGTGTGTATGCACGCACACATGAGCATGCCTGTGCGTGTTTGTGTGTGTGTATGCGCGTGCGCACTCACACGTGCGCGGAGATTAAACATGCCCATCTCGCCACCCCTAAATCAGTCTCTGAGATCTTTGTCAGCCTTGTTGACAGACAAGTAGCAATCTACTGCCGAAGTCTGGCAGATTCTCGCAAAAAGAACAACCAGATTCATCAACAGCTAAGCTGGGAAGGAAGAAGTGACTCCTAAACCGAAACAGATCCCTGGTGGCGGTCTCCTTTTCCTTGCTGGTTCAACTACACATCCTGGTGGCCCACAACACAGCCTGCATGATGTGCTGGCTGGCACGGTCTAGGAGCAGTGTAGGCAAAGGCAACAGCAGCTTTTTGGTCCCTTGACCGGAACAGTTCTCTTGAGAGCCCAGGTCCTCATGAGCAGCCCCCACCCCCCCCCCCGCCCCCACTGCCGCTCCCCTGGGAAGGCTGTCTCTTCGGTCCTGGAGGATCTGCAGTGCCCAGGGCTTGGCAGAGAGCAAGTCCCTGACAACTGTGCGCCGTTCACACTGGGGCATCTGCAGGCCAGTCAAACAGGCCAGAGCTGTACGCCACATGAGCCACCCCCAAGACAATGCCATATTGTGTGGAGGAAAACACACCGCCCTCAGTCTCCTGCTGGGCCAGGTCAGTTTCTGACTGTACTCGGGCCACACGGGAAGGTCTGTAGGGAGATGACACAGTGTGACAGTGGTTTCGGAGATGGCCGTGACGAAATAAATTGGAATGCGTGTCTGGACCTCGCTGCTCCAGGGGCCCCTGCACTGGCCTGAAGTGACAGCAGACCTCTGCTCTCTTCCCGGGCCTGGGCCCAGGCCACCTGGGCTCCTGCAAACAGCAGACGTGTAATTAGAGGCTCCTGGGCTGGGCTGAGGCAGTATACGGGCAAGTCTGGTCCTGTGCGGGCCACCGTGGGTGCTCGTGCTCAGAGCTGGGCTCCATTACTCAGCCGGCTGCAGAAGCCGTCAGCTGGCCGCCGCTCAGCCAAGAATCCTGGTCAATGAGGGAGAGAGACACTGTGTACAAGGACACCGCCTCATCCAAGAACATGAGGCTAGCCAGGAACTCAGAACAACAAAATACAGCTTCCTGTGTGCTGTGCCCGAGGCAGTGCCACGGCTGGGCCAGAGGAAGGCTTGGCGCAGGCCAGAATGACACAAGAGGGGAGTGGACAAGCCACGCTGTCCCGGGGGGAAGGCACCGGCTCACCCTCACGATTGTGAAGACATCCACAGGCGGCCTGTGGCTCCATGTTTACTGACGTGTGGATGCTCGGCCAGCGGCTGCCCAGGAATGAAGGCACTGCCTGGATCTGTGAGGAGAATGCCGTGCACATTCCTAACCAGTTCCTTGGCGATGGCTTTTCCCACTTAGCAGGAGGAGGCGGCAGACATGCCGGACCCTGCGGGTCCTTGCTTCAGGCTTCTGAGCTTGGGGTGAGGGATGACAACATGGGAGAGGCACGCTAAGCCACTAGCCTGACAGACAGCAGCTCTTTCTAAGACAGGTGCCAACTACCACTTGAAGCACATCCCTTCCAGTCCATTCCCAGCCCCCCACTCCTTACCAAAACCCCACCTACTGCCATGGGGCGGTGACTTTGAGTCACAGAGTTGCTCTGATGTAAGCTCAGGTACAGAAAACACACCACACACACACACACACACACACACACAAGTATGTTCGCTGCTTCAAATTCCAGGCAGACAACACGAAAGCCAAGGGGAACCTGTTGAAACGTGTGGTAGTAGCAGATTCCTCAGGGCTCAGGGACAAGTATCTTGAAGTTTTGATCCATGCAGGTGAAAATCCAGCACGCTCACACCTCACAACAAACAGTGCCAGGCACGCCTGAGCCGTGTTTGTGCAGTTACAGGTAGTAAGTGGTGAGGCCAACAGTGTAGACAAATTCTGCTCTCCTCCCCTTCTCCCCTCAGAGCCCCCAAGCTGCTAAGAGTAGAATGACTCATAGTCAGGGAACAACAGGGCCAGAACATTCTGTCAAATGACCTACACTGCAAAGAAAACAAGTCCTCAAGTGCATTTTTAAGTGTGAAGAAAACTTATAAAAATACCCCACAGCTCTGGGCAAGCTCAATTAAAAATGAACACTTTTTCTTTTTTCCTTTTGGCTTTTTCTCCATCTCAGGTGTGGACCCTCAAGGCCCTGGCTGTGTGGAGGCCTCACTAAGTCTTCCTCAAGGCCCTGGCTGTGTGGAGGCCTCACTAAGTCTTCCTCAAGGCCCTGGCTGTGTGGAGGCCTCACTAAGTCTTCCTCAAGGCCCTGGCTGTGTGGAGGCCTCATTAAGTCTTCCCCAGAGCTCAGACAACCGTGGAGCCAGCCAGCATCAGCTCCGCCTTCTCAAGAGCAATGAACGTTCTGTGCCTATAAAACACTTAACAGAATGCTCAAATCAGTTTCTAGTTTTAAAGAGTGGACCAAGTCTTAGTTTGATTGCAACTGATATTTGAACATTATACAGGTATTACAGAGATGTCAATTTCCCGATGCTGATAACTACATTAAGACATCACACACGGGGCTGTAGGGATGGTTCAGCAGTAGGAGTACTGGCTGCTCCTCCAGAGGACCAGGGTTCGGGTCCCAGTACCTACATGGCAGATCACAGCTGTCTGTAACCACAGTTCCATACTGTCTTTTGGCCTCTCTGGGTACCAGGTACTGCACACATGTGATGCACAGACATACATACAGGCAAACACACCTGTACACATAAAACAAACTGAAAACAAAGTTCAACCTGCTTGCTGTGTTGGCTGGGGATAGGTGGGTCAGTGGATTCTTGAGGGTTCCCAGCAGTGTGCTATTAGCATGGTAGCTAAGTGCATTTCTCTGGCCAGGAAAAACTGAGAAAAGCATATTCCCAGAAGTTCAAAGAAAAACACACAAATAAGGAAGGAAACTGAGTGGGAACTAATGTTAAGTACCCATGGCTCTGGGTGCCAGGCAGGGCTCGGCACTAAGGACAGGGGAGGCCCCAGAGTCCCTGCTTGCAAGAGCTCCGGCCTGCTTTGGAAAGGGCGGGTGTGTGCACAGATTGCCTCCATAGTCCGGAGCCTGCCTGTCACCCCCAGAACTTTCAAAGCCTTGTGACTCTCTATTCCCTGTTGCCACCCTGGTATCAGTTCTGGGCTGTGACCTGCAGCTTTTAGTGCCCCTGCTAATTTCACTGCTCTTGGAACACTACAGCCACTGTCACCTCTGCTAAAAGAAACCACATCGCGTTCCCCTCCCACTTAGGGCCCTTTGAGTGGCACCCACTGCCCTTTCCATCTGTCATACAGCCTTCTCCTGCCCGTGGCCTTCAGCTTCTGGCCCATGCCCAGCTCCTTCCTGCTTCCCGGCCTTACAGACTGGCCTTCGTCTGATGATGTACCTTCTAATGTCACTTACCTCCGACTCTCCACATAACTTCCAGGGGCAGGATGCCCTTCAGCAGCCTCTTGACACTTCTGATCTATGGCTGTGAATTCTGGCGGGGAGGGGGTTGGGAGAGGCTCTCTTCTTCCCGGACCCCACATGCGGCTGCTGTTACAAGGGTTACCAAAAGAACTCCCAAGCCAGGGTGACACCCGGCACACGGGGTTACCCAGCTCTGCCGGAGGCCCCTGGCAGATGGGGCAGTCTGCCGTGTTCTCTGTGAGGCCTGAGCAGTGGGGAGTCCTCTAAAGGTTTCAAGCAACAAGTGAAGCTCGGAAAGGGCCCAGTGTGACCCCAACTTAGTCCTGGAGCTCAGAGAGTGAGTGAGATGGAGTCCGGTGCTGCACGCTCGCTGCTCAGATTACTGTTACAGTAGCGCCACAATCAAGCTCACTGAATTGTTCTGGGCAAAAACTAACAGCTTGGCTTTCCCACAGGTTCATTTCTGTTCTTTTCTTGGGACAGGGGCTCATGTGGCCCAGGTAAACCTTAAATGCTGTATGTAACCAAAGATGACCTTGAACTCTTGATCCTCCAGCCCTGACTCCCGGATGCCGGGCTTAAGGGCATGTGCTACCATGGTTTGTGCATGCTAGGCAAGCGCTCCAACAACTGAGCCAAGCTCTCAGCCCCCAGACATGTTTACAGTACCCAAGTAAGTTGCTCAAATTGTCATTTAGAAATCTACAATAAGTTTCAACATGCATTAACTTCAAAGACTGTTTGTCATGCCTTAAAAATAAGATTTATCAGTTGCTTGAGACATAAGAGTTTACACAAGACACATTATCAACGGTGTCATAAATAAGTAATATAACTTTATTAAAATGAAAAGACAATATTCAAAATAATGCAACAAAATGAATAAATCCTTTGTCCAATACTGTACACACAGTGCAGAGCTCAGTGCATTTCTCTAAAGCATGTTTTAACCTTCATTTAGTTCACACTAACATACAGTAAGCTGTAAATAGCTCAAATAATGTCATTCAGCAGTTTCAACTCAACAGCCTGTTGGGACATGGCAGCAGTGCCCCTCTGCGAGCAAGCACCTTTCCTTTGTGCTCATCTGTACTAGACAAACGCATCAGAGGATATGAAAAGTTGAACAAAGCTGCGTGTCCCACTGAGTCCCAGGGCAGTGAAGCAGCCAGCTGTGAGCTTCCCAAGCGGGAGATGCTGAAGTGACCTCTGGCATTAAGACGCTCTGTGCTATTGGTCAGAAGTGTTTCACTTAAGAAGCAAACAATCCCCAGGAAATACTGAACAGGAACCAGCAACACAAGGCCAGCTTGTGTTGTACTTGTTTATTAAGTCTAAAAAACAAAACAAAACAAAAACATACCACACATCCCCACATAGCTAATTGCTGCATTAATCTATAAAACTCGCATCCCCAACACTGACCCGACCAGTACGATGCCATCGTACTTTCTTGAAAGCCTCTTGCTACGCCAGGCCATTGCAGTGGACGGGGAGAAGCAGGTACAGCAATGGTAAGTTATTCACCAATCCCGTCAGTTTTCAAGACATGACAAGCACACAGGCGATAACATGGTCCAGAAACCGCTGTCCTCCGCAACAAGACAAAACCCCAGAGGCGGAAGTAGTCAGCCATAGATTGATTTCCACAAGATGGTCCAGGCCTGGTGAAGAACACACCCTGTCCTGTATGGCGAAGACTGCTGGGGGCGGGGGTGGGCACACAAACCTAACAATTTATAAGTTGATCTAAAAATACTGCTTTCTTCCATTGCTCAATTTTCACGCTATCAGGAGCTGTTTCTCCAGCCTGGTTTTCCTTACCCTGAATATATATTACTCTAAGATAGTGACTAATTGGTTATCCTGCAGCTATGGCCTATGGTTACATCGCACATTTACACATAGGTATATAATGTAGTCAAATGTAAAAGTTTTCCCGTTCTCCCCGCCCCTCCAGCACATCTTTAAATTATACTTTTTCTCCTATGCTGGTGAGTCAGGGACCCCCAGCTAACAGCACCTCACGACTGCTCTAAGCCGGTATCACTAAGACAGAGTCCAACTTCATTCTGCAATCTGACATTGTTCTAGGAACCTCAAACTGGAAAATTGGGAGCCATCCGCTCCAAGTAACTTCAGCTGAACCGTGACCCCCTAAGTTACGGAGAAACCACGTAGGACAAGTGTTTGCGCTTCGAGTGACCACCCACGTCCACTTTCATCCTGGAGGCCAGCTTTTCTGTGGCAGAGGTCACACCACAGGCTGCAGGGAATGGCTGAATTGGGGGGCTTGGGTTTGCTTCTTCTGCTTCCCTAAAATACTTTTCGTATTTGTCTAGGTACGGCGGTCTCTCAGGTAGTAGGTAATAATGCGTTGAACTAACCTTCTTCCCATTTTCAATAATGGGCAGGATGCAGGGAACCTTGCTGGCAGACCCTTCGCTGCTCTGTCTTTGCAGGGCTTTGCTGCTGACATACTTGGGGTCAGGGGCAAAGCTCTGTGTTGGGGGCATGACCCCATTGAGGTAAGACGGAAGGCTTTTAGGACTCGGGGTACGGGAGTTACTCCGTGACAAAGGTTCTCTCGGGGGGACTTTGGGAGGCCTGTCTTCATCACTGTATGTGTTGGAGGTCACTTCTGCTGACCACCTTCTGTAGTCTGGCTTGGCTGGCCTAGGAGGTATAGGAACCCTGGGAGGGACCTCGGGTTTGTCTTCATCTGAGCTGGGAGAAGCTCTGTGTGTGTAGCTAGATATCCGGATGGCTGGCTTGTTAAAGGAGCCAGCCGGTCCTGAGTGAGACCGCCTCAGTCTGCGATGGCTCTGAGGTGGGGGAGGATTTGGATCTGGAACAGCTCTGTTCTGGTCAGCTGCACAGCTGAGATCTGCTACAGACACAGTTGGGGTGTCAAAATACGCATAGTTGATCTGTCCGCACCCACGGAAGCTTCGTCTGCCAGGAACGTCGGACTTGAAGTCAGAAGGGGCACAGTCTTCTAAAAGGAAGTCCTTGTCTGAGCTGGTTAGAAATTCTACCTCACAGTCGGCCTCGTCCAGAGACGGGTCTGCAGAGACGGGCAACGGTGGGAGCGGCCGAGAACCCCGATCGCAGACAGTCGCACCGGGGAAGGGGGAAGGGCAGCTTTTGATGGGTGTAAGTGGAGGAGTGGGCGTGCAGACCCCATTCACCGAGAGTTTCTTAAAGCCATACACAACCTGATCCTCTTCTCGATGTCCAGAGCTGTCACTTGGGGGGATGATAAGAGGGTGCAAGCTCGATTTTGGAGACCGGCCATATTCTGCAAAGAAGTGGCCACTCGCCGGAGCAGACCGAGAAGTACACCCTGAAAGGAACGAACAAGCGACTGAGGGCGGTGCTACTCTTTGTCCTTCACCTCATGAGAGCCCAGGACCCCCCGCTCCAGGCCCTGCCCCAGTCAGGGAACACCTGACTGCTGTAACCCCGAGGACACCCATGCAACCACCACAGGTATAATTAGAGCCGGAGTAGGGGAACACACGTGATGTGGTTCAAAGAACAAATTATCTCTGCCATCTCCCTTGGACATGTGCTCGGCATACACCCACACACCCAGACAAGTTTTGTGACGTGCGCAAAATCCACAGAAGATGAACAGCGTATAATTTACATGAGTACCATGTTACACCAGGTTTGCCACTTAAGACATGCCAGGCATGAGTGAGATAAGGCGAGGCGAGGCCCTTCCTGCCAGCATATCGTATTTGAACGAATGGACTCACTTGCAATGCGTTCACCTGATAAGAAGCTCTTGACAAAAATCTAAGGAACATGATGTCCACATTAAAATAACTGCAGTTTTCTAGCTCTGATTACCACATGTGCTAATTGCACCTACTGCTCTCAAGTTAGTACTAGGAATACACAAGACACACCGCGCAGAGTTGCATCACACCTGAGAGCAAATGCATTCTTGAGTTAGAAAAGTCACATTTCAGGGTTCTCTCTCTATAATCAGTGACCTGGGGCACAGGTAGCGAGACTGAGGAAGTGCTCTGAGGAAGCTGCGCCACTAGGTGTCAGGCTGTTGTTGGAAAGTGACTCGGTTCCCTCCTCTAAAACACACTGCTTGAGGACAAGGCAGAGTTGCTCAGCGGGCTTCATACATACCGAGACTTGTTAGGTGCTCCTGAGTGGAGGAGTTCAGACTGTAGGCCATGGCTATCGGATCGATGTTTATAAAGTTACTGAAAGCACAGGAAAACACCACGGTTACGCGCAAGTACAACGTCAGCCTCTGTGGCTGCAGTCTCGGGGATGCCGAGAACATGGGCATCACACCCCGACTCACCTGTCACACTCCCTGCGGCTGCCCCAGCAGCTCCTCATACCCCCCAAGGCCTGGCCATTGTGCAGAAACCCAGTTTTTAATGGGACTCGAATATCCTGAGCAGCCACTCCTGCTGTTGACATTGTGCCTTACTCTGCGAGTCTTCGAATCTGTGCAGCCCAGGGGCTTTTTAAGTCAGCCAGTAGCTTTCATTCCCTGGGGAAACCAAGAAGAAATAAGAGAACAGTCAAAATAATTCAGATACAGTATAGTCTATATATTGCAGCATAAGTAGGCTAGTATTAGAGATGAGGGAGATGGAAAAGTTTGGTTACAGACTTTCTAGTTCTTCTCATGAGGATACTTAAAATGTACGCAGCAAAATAATTGTTTTTGTAAATGCTAACCTGACACTTGAAGCATTTTTCACAGAATAAGAATCCATTGCCAGAAAAGCCAACCATTGCTACAGAGTTTACCAGTTGCACAACAAATCACCATCGCTTTCCCAAGCCACAAAGCTCCCTCCAGCCCACTAACCCAACCTTCTACGACATGCCTTCTATGGCAGGAAGCACAGTAGATCCCACCCGTTTTCCCAAGCTAAGAAAGGAATTTTAAACCAGGCATGGTGGTATGTGGCTGCAATCCTAGTACTTGGGAAACTGAGGCAGGAGCATGGTAGGCTCAAGCCCACCTGGGACTACATAGAAAGATCCGCCTACTGTCGCCCACCCTCAGGGAAAAAAACCAGAACAGTAATTTTAGAAAATACTGTGTTTCAGATGCTGAGCTAACAGTCACTAATGCCCACATTAAGAGATTCTCTACCTACCTGCCCCGTAACCCAACCCTGATTTGAACTCTGTATTTCAGGGGTGGTCACAGAAGATACACTCCCCAGTGACACATGAAGATTCTAATTTCAATTATCTTGTAAAAACCAAGTTCTGCAAGATTACCAGCGGCAGTGTCGACGCTGGAGCTAACTCCCTCCCTCCCTTTCAAAGACAAACTTAAGGGACATTCTTCACATTCTCCTTTGGGCAATGCCAGTAACTCATGTCCTGTTCCCCTGAGGCATGGGTTACAAAGGCAAATAGATTTCTTAAACTGGTAGCCCCTCAACTTTAGGAGCCCCTTTTATCGGATGTTATAGGTCTGAAGTTTACTATTATTTGATTCAGTACTTTGCAGACACAGAAAAGTACCGACCTCTGTTGTCTTCAGATATCACATGCACTCAGGAGGCTCGGCCATAGACCGATGTGAGTTGTCGACTGCCCAGAGCACAGGCCCCTTGAGCTCTCCACACCCTGACTACACCTTTCTGCCACTGAATATCTGCACACCACTAAGTGCTGACTCTGTAAGACAAATCTGCTGGCTGGAGGGGCCACACAGACGGCTCCCTTCTACCATTATTATTAAATCGCTCGGCAACTAGACATTATTTACAAATATCAGGCCTAATGAACTGGGACTCAGAACAAGGGGCTGTTTGTCCTACTACCTTAACCACAGGTACCTGGCTCAATGAGTGAGTGTTTGCTATGGACTGAATATGAAGGCATTCTCCTTCTTCAAGCTAACACTCTAAAAACTACTCCATAGATGTTTACAAAGCCAGCTGTTTCAATGAGGAGACAGTGATTTTATGACAGGCTTACAACATTATTTCAATGGGTCAAACCTTAGTCTTTTAAAACCAGTCTCTCCAAGATACATGAAAAAGAAAATAATCCACCACTTAAGAAACCTCATTAATGGTAGTTTTTTGAGTCTTGGTTTTCAGATTACTGAAATGAAGCAGATGTTATTTACCATAAGGTAATAATTAAAAAACACACATTTTAAGGAAGGCTAGCAGCCTCTCCCTGTGTGTGTTTATCCAGGGTTTACCAGGCATTTTCTGAACATTCACGAGCACCTAGAGACCACAGGGAGAGGATCTGTGGTAATCTGGAAATGAAAGGCGAGACCGGAGGAAGAGTGTGGTGTTTAAGTAGTTTGAGAGTAGTTTGAAGATGGCTCCTCCCGATTACAAGCCAAGGCTGCGGGGGATTCTGCAGGCCCAGCCCCCACCTGTCGGCAGGCCAACATGTACTACTAGTAATCACTGTGTCAGCCTAACGCCATCTACATCTTAGCTTTCAACAGAACGGTTGTGTAACTATCGCCTCTGCTCAAGTTGCTTTGGAATTCTAAACTTACATTTCAGTGGTCACTTAAAATTATTTATATGTTCTAGAAAAAGTTATTTTTTATTCATTGTTTCCATCACCTACTTGTTAGCTTTCTTAAGGAAAAAATTTTTTTAGTATAAAAAGAATTGTGTTCACTAAGCCAGCTCACTTCTGACCACAATAGTGTCTTTGTGTATTCATAGAGGGTGACCTGCCTCTAAATCTCAATGGGGAATTGTGAATGGGCCATGTTATGAAACTACCCCAACTTCCTACTTGCTTGCATGGCAGAAGCAAGGAGGGCAATATAACTGCCGTGTTCTCATCTTTTGGAAAATAACTTCAGGCTGTAAAACCCCAAAGAACAACATGCCACAGGTTTATGGTTTACACTCTCTCCTCTCTCTCTCTCCCTCTCTCAAACTGAGGTTAGAACATCACCTGAAAGTCTGCTACCTCTCCTAGAAAACAAAACTAGTATTCAGGCTGTATACTCCTGATGGGGGCACAGAGATCAACCTGGCCAAATAAATTTAAACTAAGAAATAAAGCAAAACACATTGCTCAGTGAAATGTGACTCATGCTGCAATGTTTCAAATTTCATTCAAGTCCTTATAGCTGTAGAGTCTACTCTAGCTTTCAACCCATGAGGAAAATAACTGCCATTCTATGAATATCAACACCTAAAAGTACAAGATGATATCCTGCTATGAAATCCAAGAGCAACCAAGTGAATGTTGGTTGTTCCGGGTGGCACAGTATAGACCAGGACCCAAATAATCTTGGGCATGACATAACTTACACAATCTTGAAACAATTTAATATTCTTAGTGAGGCAAAATACAGTTAAATACAAATTCCTCATTTCTGTTAGAGCACCTTTTTTTTTTAACTTTAAAATCTTATTTATTCTTAAAATCATTTAATTCATTTCTGTGGCTTCAGCTCCACAGACAGTTCCTAAATAGGTTAAGTGCAACCTGGCTTCAACTTTGCATTTCTTACTGTCTGGTGATTATCTTTCCACTTGGATGGGCCTCTGGCATCTTACAGGCTCCGAACCCAATTCCTTCTGTCTCTTAACTCTCAGCCCTCCCCTTTCTGGTCCAGGAGGATCACATTTCCTGAGGTTCCACTGTGAGTCTGAGTCAGACCACCTCCCTACAGTCTCCACACTTTCTCAAGCCTCGTTCCCTACTGACTCCAGTTGGCCTTCAATCTGAAAATACTTAAACCACAGTACAACCAACAAGATCAATACTCCTCAATCGCCAGACACCCCGTAAAGAACCCATAAAAACCTCTAACAGCTCCCTGCCTGACACAAAAGATCTCATGCGAGGCCTTACTTATCCTACTCACTTTCCGGCTTCCGCTGCCCACTGCTTATGCTTTAAGGGTAGCTCTTCTCACCCTGAGCTCCTTCAATGGCCCCTCCCTTTACTAAAAGCCAGACCCACGTCTCTGTTCAGCTGTTCTGTGCTGAGCCCAGGTTCCCCCCTTACCCTCCAAAGCCAGGATCAGTGCCTGACCGCCCCCCCCAGATCTCGGTATATTTACTTGAATAAATATTAAGTGAACATTGAGAAAACAACTATCTCATACTTTAAAATGTAATTACACGAGATTTTCCCCCAGGACATAAGAAGAGAGGAGCTAAGAGGAAAAGCAAAAAAAAAAAAAAAATTGTTACAGGATCAAATTAGCATTACTGGAGTGATGAGATGGCCAGTAATAATCTAATACATTTAGAATATCCTAAACTCACTTCTCAAATCTAAAGCGGGCAGTGTGTTGGCTGAGTAAAACTGTAATCATCAACGGCTACTAGCTTGCTAGTAAAACTTGAGGCAGTAAAAACAAATTTTACCTTCTCTTACATACCATTCCTGTGGACTGCAATCCATCTACCTGGCTCTTGTTGCTACTTTATTACTTTCTTTTAAAAACAGTCACGTTATACCAACAGCACACTGCACTCGGCTTTCTAAGGTGAACTCGCATGCCTTTGTCTTGAAAACATTCGCTTTGAAACTGTTTAACACACAAAGCCAGGCTACCTTAAGGCAGTAACCTAGATATGCTTACCTTGCCATGAGATCTCACTAATATATCTCAGGAGCAATCCACAAGAGGAGGAGGGGCACATTTTTGTCTTACAACTCACCCAGTTCTGCCCAGTGCTTCCTCATTTAAGAGTGTGATGTAATTTCCTTCTTTCATTCTGGTTCTGGAACCTGATTTATGTTTATTCGGAATGATAATTGGTCTTTTCAGTCACATTTAACAATCACCTACCTGCCTACTTCTAGAACCAGGGAAGACATAAAATAACTATGTAACAAAAATCTATCAAGAGAAACCGATCAGACACTTGATGCAAGCTACCACTGTCTGCGTTTACATCTGATCACCTCTGAGAGAAAATGGAAATCAGTTTTATTGGCTGTTTTATGGACCTTTATTGATAATGAGAAAAAACGACAGCATTCCTGTAGTTATGCAGGGTCTAAAATCATAGAATGTGTCATACTTCTGATCAACTGGCTGTACATGGTGGCCATGTATCTCCCTGGTTATGGAAGTGGTTCTGAAGGTAACTGCTAAATGCAGCCTCTGCTTTCCCTCAATGAGACGGGGGTGTAACCGGCATTTACTGAAAGCAGGAGGACAATCTGCACAGATATTTCAAAGCCAAGGCCTGAACTCAAAGCTCTTTGGATTTCATTGTAAAAGCTAGGATCTGGAGATAGGGAAAGAAAGGTAGCAAGCTAAGAAAATTTCTTTGTTATGTGCTTACTGTGAAAAGGCAGAAGTGGTCTTTATATTAGACGCATGAATGACTTTTTAGATAAAATGCAACTATGCTACTCCTACATAGAATCAAGTATGTGTGACAGCTTCGGCAAACATTAAGATGCTGTTCGAAAAGATGAAATGAAGATTTGTGTGTTTTCAACCCCATTCCTCAGAAGACCTAAATGTATATACCCCACATATTCTGGCCCATTTAGAGGTGGTGAAAATGG